CTTCTGATGCGACTGTTGACGACGCATATCAGCTATACCTAAAGCAACAGCAACTTACGTCATAAATGTAGTTTTTGAACCCTGAAACTCAGTTGTGGCTGGAAATCACTCGCTCCGTTTTCGTTGGCGACTCTGCACACTATGTAACAACAGACGGTGCGCCCCTGTTGTAGAATCTTCGGATTGAATAGTTGTCGATTGCGTAACTAGTAACACCGTAGCGTGAAACACCCATGAAGCGCAATAAATGTCTCGGGCACAGTTAGGCTGCCGGGCTATTGTACACAATGCTAGACAATGCTAGACCTCTTTGTATTTGCTCAAATAAGGCACAAAGATAAACCAAGCAGAAACAACCCGTACTTTTATTTCGGCACGAGTACATACACCCACATGGAAGGCCAGATCCGTTTTAGGTTCAGGTAATGACCAGTTGCGTTCTGATTACCTGACAAATTCAGTCAGAGACAAAGTGAATTCGTTTGAGGTGTTACTCGGGTACACTGATAGTCCACCAGCACGGTTTGCTGTCGAACTGCAACATCGTGCCATTGTGCAAGCAGTGGGAACTGATGCATCTGCTAATCAGAATGTATAACTTAGGATGTCATGCTAACTGCCTCAACGGTGCGGCATTCCATTGAGAACGGGCATGCGAAATTGTTTTATGCGTCTCAACGGATTTCAGTTTTCAGTTCGTATAGAAGTCATTGAAAATATGTCCACGGGATATTGAAAATGTACGTAATCGAGGTCAGTATTTAGTAAGAGTTCTCTATGTAAAGGATTCCCGTGCTGGGAACGTTCAGGCATGTCGAAAGCTACACATTTTGTCTGGATGTCTCAACCTCGATGCGCGCGCGCTACTTACACCCAGATATTAGGCGAGATGAAATGATTGATCATACAAGGAAACCACATCATGTGGTCACTTATTGACTGGATTCTCGTGTGACAACTCCTCAGAGGGAAGTTTCGCTCAACTTGTGCTACTTGAGATACTTTTAGAATGATTGAGGAAATTTGGCAATCCTCAATAGAGATTCTGTCGTGCTACTGAAGTCAGCGTGTACTGAGAAACAGATGTTTTTGGACAGATCACACCTTGCTCCGA